CGTACATGGTGAGAGTGAATATATGGAAATTTGAAACCCCCAAAACCTATGGGCATAAGGTATATTAATGGGGGTATATAGCTACACCAAAGGTTGGAATTAAGTAATCATTAGATAAAATTTTCATATAAGTGACTATTACTTAGATAATATAATTGAAACGCAAGTATACAATATCACGCTTAGACTAAGCTGGGTAAACGAACCCATCAACCATGTCATTCCTATCTTGTAAATTTATGTTGAAAACAATTGGTACAAGAGTCCATTGAGCATCATCTGACATTTTCTCTATAAGCAAGGAAATCCAGAGCATGATGTGTTGTCAATCAACACATGTATATAGCGGAGTAAGTAACTTAATTGAATGTTTAGTGTTGAATGATAACATAAATAGAAAACTTACATCATATTCCAACCAGACCAAGTCAAAGTCTCGATATAGATGTATCCAAAACTCCATCCCCATTTTATAAATGATAAATCGGTGAAGAAATTATATAGATGCATCCTTGTTTTCGTATAAACTGTGAATTTTGTAGTTTATATAACTGTCTAATGGTAATGAGCGTATGCGTGGAATGAATTTATTTTTCATCTGTATCCACGAAGACTTTAACCATACATAAACATGTGTCTCCCGCCGTGTACGCATATGAGCTAATGGTGGAATTTGGTAATTTGGCTGGGGAACCTCAATGATCTATGGAAGCTCTTTGGATGCATGCATATGTAGATTGTCTATATGTATCGTAGGCACTGTGCCAAACGGTGGAATTTGGTAATTTGGCTGGGGAACCTCAATGATAAATGGTTGTATGAAGGAAACCTTGTCACCCTACGATAATGTAAATATGTAATGGTTCCATACTATTAAATAATCAACGATGCAATAACATGTATACTAATGAGTTAAATAGGAACATATCTCCAACCCCAGTGAGGTACTGTTATCTTGTATGTTACCCCTATCTTTAGGATTTGCATGTAACCCTAACACAACCTTGACATGACGAGACATATGCATACCGTATTCCAACAACTTCCTTTGACAGTCTTGAAGCTGATTTTGAAACTCCAATATGATTTTTCCCTTGATCTAATGTTGGTAAAGTTAGTAGTGGTGTTGGTGGTGGTTCAGATCAATATGAACCTTTGCCAACATCTCGATGTGCCTGATTCTCTGGAGGCTCATAATTAGGTGACCTGACAGGTGATATTGTTAGAGATGGTGCCATATGATCGTTTGTATTAGGTAAAACATCACGATTCAATCCATAAAGAGCTAAAAGACCACTAGTAAACACGACTCTCATCCACTGCCGGCTATAACTTCTCTATAAGTTTATTATCCTCTAACATAATTATACATCACTTGTAAACATAATTATAAATATGGGTAAAAATGTGCAATTTATATAAATAATAATACCCTCTCAACATAAAAAAAACGTTTCACATTGCTGCTTCTATAACTTCCTAAGCTTGGACCATCTAATAGCCCGAGGGATCACATTTGTTTGTCGGGTACCAAACAGATTGTCAGGGCTATAATCGAACCGTAAAAATATGAACAAATCTTGTTCATGTTTGATCGTTTAAGTTATCCGAAAAAACGAACGATCACGAACTGATAAATGAACAAGTTTTCTTGTTCATGTTCGTTCGTTTAACAAATTACTTTGTTCATGTTCGTGAACATGCTAAACGAACATGAATGAATGGAGAAAAACAAACACAATTAAACATATATGAACATAAATGAACATATAATCTAGTAATGCAATAAAAAAGAAATTGAACATAAATAAACTTAAACAGATGACCATAAACGAACTTTCACAAACATAAATGCACAAACGAGACCATTATTCAGGTTCATTCGTTTAAATAAACGAACAAGAATTTGTGTTCATGTTTGTTCATTTATTAAATAAACGAACATAAACGAATTTCCCGCCAAAAAATTCACGAATAGTTCACTGAACGTTCGATTCGTTTACACCCCTACATATTGCTGACCAAAAAACTCTCCATAATCCATATCTGAAATAATCATGTATCGGGATATTAGCAAACATAAAAGTTATCTGAAAAACCAATAATGTATTTTACATTAAAAGCATATAAAACCCACTTAGGTTGTACGTCAATTTTTAAGGTTTTGTTTGTTTTTTCTTTGACAACATGAACTAGCCTATGAAGCTTATTGAGTACTGTCTCTAGCTGACCGTACAATTGATCCCAAATTATCTTGTGTAACGACTCAAAATCACAACGATTTTAATCTTTTCCAAAACAAACCAAAATCATAAAATATTTACAAAATCATTGTTTCCAAAGTGTTTATCAATATTAGAGTATCCCAAAATCATAAGACCATAAAGTAGGAGGATGTGTACGGCCACGCCTTCGCCTTTCTGCGATCATCAGAAGCACCTGAAACAATAAACTAAAACCGTAAGCCAAAGCTTAGTGAGTTCCCCCAAAGTACCACCACATAAACATAACAAACAACATCATGCATACAGAGCCTTCAGCATGACTGGACCGCCTCGTTGGGCCTTCAGCCTATCTGGACCGCTCTTCGGGCCTTCGGACTAACTGGTCCGCCTCACAGGCCTTCAGTCTACCCGGACCCCCTAGGTATCTTGGCCTTCAGCACAAAGCATGACCGCCTCAACCCGGTACACCATCACATATCAACATATACAATATCAATCAATAGCTAGCATATACAAGTGGTCATACATATCTAATAGATGACCATAACATAGCAACATCCTATATACCAGGATACAGATCTAACAGATCACTATGACATAACAACATATGGTAAAAACCAAGATATCAATCAAGTGGGCCGACCTTGGTGCCTTCGACCCGTAAGTATAATGCGGAAAACTTACCTCTCAATCCGAACACATTCTGAATGAATCTCTTCTCCGAAAACCGGCACTACTCTCCTCCTAGTGAACAAAACATTTCCCAATCTAAATTAGTATCAATTTCCCAAAATACCCTTGAGTTAAACTTGGTCAAGTCCATGATTCGCTGGTCACGCCGTGACCTCTAATGGTCACGTCGTGACCCAATAAGTCCAAAATAGACGAGGACCGCCATCCTCACGTCATGACATCCAGGGTATCACATTGTGAGAACGTCCCTGGACAGAAGTTCTTAATGAAGTTCTTATTCATTTTTTCCAAACAACCAAATCTTTCCTAGGGTCTTAGCCACTCCAGAGCATCATTAAAATCGTGACTTTTTGGACATGCATATCCAATGCACGTCCCAAACACTACTTAAGTGAAAATGAGAAAAATGATACCAAATCTTCATGCAAGCGTCATAAAACTCCACCAAATCTAGAACTTATAATACTCAAGAGGCACGAGAGATCCATAAAGTTGCTAACTTTATGGATTCTAACCATTATTTCATCATGGGAATGAAGGATTTAAGCATAAAAACCTAGATCTAAACTTATAGACTCAAAAGGCAATGAACTTGAAACTCACAAAGGCTCGAAAATGTGAGAGGATGCTTGATGGAAAGACTTGAATGTAGAAATGATGGGCTAGATGCTCTTCCTCTTCTTAACCTTGGCTAAAATCACCCAAAAATGAGCTCAAGACATTACTAATGATATTCATAAATTAATGGCATGATACTTGTTGAAATCATCAAAGTTAAATACAAAACCCAAATACTTAACCTTCAGCGGTTGAGGAGTCAACTGACCATTAAACCCCTTCTCCAACAAATATTATATACACACCAGGACTGCATCTCGTCCTATAACTCAAGAAGATATGTTTCAAATACGTTTATAATATGTTCCAATTTTACCGACTCAGTCAGCTTGACCGTAGAAAACACACGTAATCGGAAGGCGTGAACGGAATCCCAAGCTGCAAAAATTCACCAAATTGGAAGCCGGTGACAAGGAAAAGTTTCCTATTCCCAAGCGTCAACTCGTACTCATCGATCTCAAAAACCATTTCCTGTACTTAGTTTCGAGGGTGTGTCACAACTTTTTTGCAGAATACGTAATGTAAAAGCAAATGATCCCCTTTTACTTTGACAGGAACATCTAAACACCTACCAAAACACGTCTGAATGGTCGGTTCGTGAATTTTGCAAGAATATCCGCAACAATGACAAGTTTGAAAGACATTGTAAGAGAATCATAAAAAAATTGTCATATACAAAAAAAAAAATACTTTCAGGTTAATTTCAGATTGTAAATGGTGCTCCGAAACGTATTGTTCTACACATTTCGGACTAGTTCAACTATCCCAGACAAATTCTTTGTAACCCGGACATGTTCCGGAATACGAAATTCACATGCTATTGTCAATATAATTATTTCTCTAATACTTTGGATCTTTTGTGATACTAAAATTTTACATAATTAAGACACCTTCTAATAACTAACATAACATTCTGGACTTGTTTTTCATGTTCCAATCATTTTAAACTTTTAGTTAGAAAATTAAACAAGAAGTAAAGGAGTTATTAACTCACCCATACAACCTCAAACTCATCGGAATCAAATGTTATATTTCCTTTTGCCCACCAAATCTGAAATATAATAATATCCTGGTTTGCATGTTAGAATGGGTTATGTAATTTATCCTTATCACTCTGGATTAGATATTACTTTCTCAAAATAAATAAATAAACAAATAAATGGTTAGTTTTTTAAAAAACCAATACAAGATGGTTAGATTATTCAATATCCATTTATTATTTTTAGAATTGTGAAAAAAATAATTTAATATCATAAATTATAATCTACAAAAAATTAAATAAGTTAAGTAATTAAATAAAACTCTCATAATAACCTATTCGACAAAAAAAACTCCCCAATAAACTACTATTTATAGAATGCTCTACCTTAGTCGGACATTACTGATAAAAATATAATTATTTAATTTTAATTATCAAATTAACAATGACACATGAAAACACACAAATGAAATAATGATAGCAAGAAGAGTTAACACATTGATTATCATCCATCTCCATCTAAGACACATCCAAAGGCCAGCCTTGTTTAAAATGATTGCAAACACATGCTACTCCTCCTGGTTCCTCCACACATGAGTCTTGCCCCTCTTCTCCATTTCACCACTTTTACGTCAAACACACACACACACACACACACCCACACACCCCCTCAAGAACACGAACCCAACAATTCACACACATAGAAACAAAGTAACACAGAGATACTTCGAGACACAGGGTTGGGGAGAAGCAAATTTCTTGTGATCACTCATCACTGTGTGAATTACACACACACACACACACAGAGCAACGTAATTCTCCCCTTCATCCCCACAAACACACACTCACATATATATATAAGACCTGAGAAAAAGAGAGACAGTTTTTATCTGGGCTAGGTGTTTTTTCTTTTACAGAGATAGGGAGTGAGCGAAATGATGCAGGAAGGGGGATCATCGTCGTTGACGGCAGCGGGGGAAGGAGGAGGGAGGAGGAAGCCGTCGTGGAGAGAGAAAGAGAATAATCGGAGGAGGGAGCGACGGCGGAGAGCGATTGCGGCGAATATATATAATGGGTTGAGAGCACAGGGGAACTACAATTTGCCTAAACATTGTGATAACAATGAGGTTTTGAAAGCACTTTGTCAAGAAGCTGGTTGGGTTGTTCTTCCTGATGGCACCACCTTTCGCAAGGTATAAATTATAATCTTGTTTTTTGTTAATTTTACTGAATTATGTTTAAAATTAACCCGGATTAAGCAAAACCCTCGTCCCCAATTCGATCGATTCATCTCTGTTTCGTCGTCAGTAGCTAGATCTAGCGGTTTGCGGTTTGCCACTCCGATCAAGTAATTGAGATTTCGTTTGTTTTGATTTGGGAAATTTGATGGGTTTTCATGAATTGAGAAGCTTTATCTTGAATTATGGAAATAGATTTTGGGGTTTATAAGCTGTAGATCTGTACATTATCATCATTTTTACGAGTTTTGATTCTTGATTTGAAACAGGGTTCGAAGCCACCACTACCTTCCATCGAAACCGGCGGCACATCCACCACTACGACGCCGTGTTCTTCCCAGAAACCGAGTCCGCCGTCTTCATCGTTTCCGAGTCCGATCCCTTCATATCAATGCAGCCCATCATCTTCATCGTTCCCAAGTCCATCAAGTAACCCATTTGCATTTCTTCGAAACACCATTCCATCTTCTCTCCCACCTCTCCGGATCTCAAACAGTGCCCCTGTAACTCCACCTCTCTCATCTCCAACTTCAAAGTTTCCTAAACCCAACAATCTCAACTGGGAATCGTTCACAAAACAATCGATTTCCTCATTCAATTTGCCATTTTTTGCGTCGTCTGCGCCTACAAGCCCTACCAGGTCCCACCGCTTCACACCTGCAACTATCCCGGAGTGTGATGAATCTGATTGCTCCACCATTGATTCATGCCAATGGTTGCGATTCAAGAACTATGAACCGATGGTGATGACAAACCCCAACTCCCCGACTTATAAACTTGGTGAAACCGGTGGCTAGAGCCACTGCTGCCATGGATGCGAGCTCGGAGAAAGGTAAAGGGATGGAATTTGAGTTTGAGAATGGAGGAGTGAAGGCATGGGAAGGCGAGAGGATTCATGATGTTGGAGTGGATGATCTTGAACTCACTCTTGGAAGTGGGAATTCTAAAATATAATGTGTGTGTGTGTGTTTGTTTTAAAGATTGAAGTTAGCAACTTAAGCATGGCAGTGAACAGTTCTTGAAGATGCACATTAAATATTGAGTAGAAATTATGATATTTTATTTGAATTTCTTTACATTCTATTTTTTTTTTCCAATCATTTTGTTAGATGATTGAAGACCCAATTTACATTTGTGAGAAAGATTGAATCTTTTCAAAAGTTTGATGAAAAAGTGTCAATTTGGTGCTGTGTTCTTTGCTTTCTTGTGAAAGTTTATTCACTTTTCTGGCATGAGGTAGAAGATGCATAACCCGAATGATTAAGAATTTGTTGTTTCCTTATGTTTATTGGCTCATTTTATAAAATTAAATTACACCATGACCTTATTCATGAAGAAAAAGGTTATTTTCCGGTAACTACATATTATATATTCTATTTGCATCGTATTATATATGAATCGGGTGCACAGCAGACTCGTTAGGATAGCAAAAGTGTCCAGCAGAAAGCTGGATCGGAAATTGATTTAAAATTTTTACACCGTAGTTGTGGAGACTTTGAGACTCAAATCCTAAACTCTTTTAACTTTTTTTTATGACAAAATTACATAACTGATCCTTGTGGTTGACAAAATCGATCAATTCTAACCCTTATAATGAATTTATTTGCATAGACGGTCCTGTGGTTTCAAAATCTTACAAAAACAGTTTTTTTTTTTCTTACATTTTCAGTTACGTCTCATGTGAGATGGCATATGTGTCCTCCTTGTCACAGGGACCATTTATGTAACTTTTCACTGTCATAGGGACTATTTAAGTAATTTGTCCCTGTCCGGCTATTTATATAACTTTTTCTATTATTTATTATTGTTTTTACTCGAGTTATTTATATTTTATATGATTTAGATTTTTTTGACATTCGAATATATTGTTTAATGTTTTTGTTAATATTTTTTAGCTTACATTTTTTGATGTTTTGTTCGAATACATTTATTAATATTTTTTTTATGTATTGTTAGAATATTTAATTATAATTTTTATGACGTTTTGTTTGAATATATGTTTTGATGTCTTTTTTTTACGTTTAATTTGTTTATATTTGTTAAAGATTTCACAGCCACTGTAATCATACTTCCTAAGTAATTCATTTTCAACAATGGTTTTTTTATACTTTTAATATATATATATATATATATATATATATATATATATATATATATATATATATATAATTCAAATATTTAACTATATAACACATATAAGGTTGTATAATTATTATTTTTGTGAAACTTTTCATAAACATATTTTGAAAAAAAAATGTAAGAAGGTTTGTTAAACGTAAATATGATTAATATAGATTAAGTACACATAGGCTAACCTAAGACTGTCTCGCAACCTTGTGAGAGCGACCATGTCATTTCACGTTGGACTTAATTGTAGTGTTTTCGAGTTATTTTTTTTAGACATTTTGTTCGTTCCGAGTTATACGGATTCTGATTAGCCTATGTATAACTTGACATCCGTTTTGGATTCCGATTAGCCTATCTATATTAATCGTATTCACGTTTAACTAACATTTTTACATTTTTTTTACACAAAAAATGTTTATAAAAAGTTTGACAAAAATAACAATTATACAACCTTTAATGTGTTATACAGTTAAATGATTGAATTAAACATAATAATTTAAAAAGAACAAAAAAAACACGATTGTAATTGAATTAAGTTATGAATTATGACTATAGCGACCATGAAATCTTTAACAAATATAAACAAACAAAAGGTAAAAGAAACATTAAAAAATGTAATCGAACAAAACGTCAAAAAAATTAGAAGAAATTATTTGAACAGAATGTCTAGAAAAGTTAATAAATGCATTTGAAACAAATGCCAAATAAATTAGAAGAAAATATTCAAACAAAACGTCAAAAAATGTAAGCGGAAAAATGTAAAAAGAAAAAAATTAAAGAATATATTCGAACAAAACATCAAAAAAAAACCTAATCATAATCACACAAATAAATTAAATAAAAACAATAATAAATAATAGACAAAATTATATAAATGATCCCTGTAACACGAACAAGTTACATAAGGCTTCTGCGTTGCATGCATCATACGTATATATATTTTTTTAATGTTTGGTGGGTCAGACACATGAAAATCCAACAACATGTTGTGCAAAGATGTATGTTTTCAAATTATATAGCAAAAAATATATAATATCAAAATTACCAAAAAAAAAAGTGCATGATGGTGCTGATAGAATGTTTTCGATTTTCTTGTAAGCAATATTTTTTTTTTCAATTAATAAAAAAATACATCAAAAGTCAGGGAAATGATTTTAGTTACTATCCTATTTTTTTCTATTAATTTGCAAATATTCAAATCATTGACCTATATAAATTGCTAATAAAAAGATAATGTGTAATTCACTTGAAACTATTTTATTGACATATTGCAAAACCTTGAGTCAAAAATACCATCCTGTATTTTGTCTATCCACTTGCATAACATATTTCTGTAGAATCACGACTTCTGGAATGATGGTTGTAGACCTACATAGAACAATGCATAGAACAACAGTTCGTTAATAAAAAACAAAAAAATGCGCTCTCTTGGCAGTCAAATCAAATAATCAGAGCAATCATTTTGTCTTCTTGCTGGCTGTCATCAAGATTCTTTCAAATAAATTACTAATAGATAACTAAGGAACAACAATTTCTTTAGTCTTCGAGACTAAAATGATGTAGAAATCAATTTTAAAAGTCAAATCAGATAAGAAACATCCCCACTTCAAGATTTTGACACTAAAACGGTCTAAGAGAAAACTGATGAAGTAACATTTAGCTATGCAGAAGTGAAATTGCAAAAATCATTAATAGATAACTAATTAAAATATGTTGTGAAACAGAAACAGAACACCAAGTCACCTAGGTACACAACACACTGCCAACACTCTAGTGGCATGGTACATTGGTGACCGTGGCGCGGTGTTGCGATTTCCTATTTTCCTGTTTTCGATTTGTCGACCAGACGCTAGTGTCAACTATAGGTTCTTCTCCGTTTGACTCTTGAATTTCTTCAAGATCAATTTGATTCACACCGACTTCTTTGGATATGAGATCCCCCTCAAGGAATAATCCCCTTCAAGAAACAAACACCTTGTTCTCAGAAGGCTTGTAAAACAAGTATCTAAAAGACTTTTGTGGATAACCAATAAAGTAAGACATCTCTAATATGGGTTCGAGTTTATTGTTGGCCTCGCGATGAACATAAACTTCGCAGATGCAGACTTTACATGTGCTAGAGAAGAAAGTGTCCCACTCCATATTTCAAAGGATGTTTTAGAAAACTTCTTAATTGGTACGAGGTTTAAAATGTAGGCAACTGTCTCTAAGGCATATTCCAAAAAGTTATCGGAAGTGTAGATCGACTCATCATAGATCGAACCATATCTAATAGTGTTCGATTTCTTCTCTCAACAACACCATTAAGTTGTGGCGTTCTGGGAGGAGATAATTGTGAAACTATTCAACAGTTCTTAAGATGATCGTAGAATTCAAGACTTAAATATTTCTAACCCCTATCGGAGTGAAGCGTCTTGATCTTCTTGCCTAGTTAATTCTCTTCTCCGTTTTGAAATTCTTTGTACAGTCAAAGGTTTCTGAAGAATTCTTTGATAAATAGATATATCCATATCTACTAAAATCGTTAGTGGAAGTCATAGTATCGTTCACCATGTTTTGTGGCGAATCTGAACGGCCCACAAACATCTATGTGGATGAGGTCCAACAGATCCTTGTCTATTTCATAATAACATGTGAATGATGACTTTGTCATCTTGCCAAGTAAGCAAGAATCACACATATCATCTGAAATTAAGTAAAATGATTCCAAGATCCCATCCGATTGGATCTTGGCGATGCGTTTTGTTTATATGGTCAAGATGACAACGCCACAAACATGATTTATCCAACACATTTTTTGGAAGAATCAACGTTTAACATTAGATTATGGAACTTACTTACACAAACAACATTCTCATAAATACCACTGCAAGGACTAGCTTTGAAAATAAAAGAACCATTCTTATAAACCGAAATGTCACCATTTTCATTAGAAAAAAAAAGTTGACAACCATCCTTATACAATGCATGAAATAAATAATGTTTCATTATCAGGTGAAAAGAAACAATTTAATAAACTAAGAAGAACACCACTAATAAGCACGACCTCGTCATGTAATATCCCGAGTTTTTCCATATAAATTTTCTAGGGATTATCATAGTTTTCTATAAAAATGTGGAATTCTAAATCTCAAAAACACTTTATATCTTAGGATATTATCGGGTTTACAACATATCATAACCACAATTCAAAGCAACAAGAAAATACTAAAAATAAAATTCTACTTCTAATCCAAGTCCTTGTGCTCCTATCTCCTCTCGTACAATGGCTACTACCTGAACTTGCAACACATGAAAGAAACTACATCATCAGACCACAAGTCTGGTGAGTTATACTTTATCTATTCTCATGTATTCGTACTCTACTATCCAGTTCTCTTCTTCTTATACTCTGTTATCTTTTCTTTTCGTCTGATACTCTATAACTCTAATCTCATCTTCTCATATCGTCCACTCTTATCTCATTTCTTGTCATACCTTATCATATCATCAGTTCTATTCTTCCCATTCTCCTGTCGTCTTATACTTCCTCACTATTTATCTTTTCCCCTTCTCATATTCTGACTCTGTCTTCCTCTCATCTCATAACCTTATTCTACTCTATCTACACCTCTCCTCATACTTTTTCCTCTCACCTCATACCTTTTTCTCATTGTATCTCACACCTTCTCTCTCTCTCTCTCTCTCTCTCTCTCTCTCTCTCTCTCTCTCTCTCTCTCTCTCTCTTCTTTCCAACTCATCATTATTCTCACATCGATTTTTCACATCCTGTATCTCTGTTCTCATCTTCTCTTAATTTACCTATCTACTTTCACGTAGACCCAAACGGTCTAATCACATATGATAGCCTCACCTGTCACATAGTGGAACAACATAACTCTATCGTATACTCTATCTTATCGGAGCACAGTCATCCGACTCAGTCCCTATACTTTGATCCCTTATGGATCGTTTGGCAACATCTCTTTCCCTACATCCCTCGTGGATTGCAATGATCACTTATAAATCCTCTA